CTACTACTACTACTACTACCACTACTACGACTACGACTACGACTTCTACTACGACTACGACTTCTACTACTACTACTACTACTACTACTACTACTACGACTACTACTACTACTACTACTACTACTGCTAATACTACCCCTACTGCGGCTACTACGTAGTTCAACTGCTAAGATCACTACTACGACCTACTCCCCCCACTACTACTACGCACTACGACTACTACTACTACTACTACTACTACTACTACTACTACTACTACTACTACTACTACTACGACTAATAATACTACGGTTACTACTGCTACCTTGGTACTACTACTACTACTACTACTACTACTACTACTACTACTACTACTACTACTACTACTACTACTACTACTACTAGTACTACTACTACTACTACTACTACTAGGGAACGCCGTGCCCGTCTGGGCCCCACGCCGTGCCCGTTCGGGTCCCACGCCGTACGCCGTGCCCGTCTGGGTCCCACGCCGTACGCCGTGCCCGTCCGGGTCCCACGCCGTACGCCGTGCCCGTCTGGGTCCCGCGCCCCACGCCGCGCCCGTCCGGGTTCGCGCTTGCGCGCCTCAGGAATCCTTGAAGCGTGTAAGCGCGCAGGATTCCTGAGGGAATCCGAAGGGAATCCTTAAGGAATGCTAGCGAATCCAAAAAGAAATCCTAAGGAAACCCAGCGAATCCGAAAGAAGCCGAAGGAATCCGAAGGAATCCTAAGGAATCCTAATGAATCCTGAAGAATCCTCCGCGAATCCCAATGGAATCCTAAGGAATCCTTGCGCAGACCGCACGCCGTTCCCGTCCGGGTTCGCGCGTGCGCGCCTCACGAATCCCTGACATGTGTAAGAGTCTAGGAATCCTAAAGGAATGCTAGCGAATCCGAAGGGAATCCTAAAGAAACCGAGCGAATCCGCCAGAATCCTAAGGAATTCGAAGGAATCCTACCAAATCCTTAGCAAATCTAAATGGAATCATGAAAAATCCTTGCGCAGACCGCGCGCCGTTCCCGTCCGGGTTCGCGCTTGCGCGCCTCAGGAATCCCTGAAGTGTATAAGCGCCTAGGAATCCTGATGGGAATCCTGAAGGACTCCTGGAGGAATGCTAGCGAATCCGAAGGGAGTCCTAAGGACAAATAAAGAATCCGAGAGAATCCTGAGGACTCCGAAGGAATCCTACCGAATCCTCAACGAATCCTCAACGAATCCCAATGGAATCCTTAAAAAAACCTTGCGCCGACCGCACGCCGTTCCCGTCCGGGTTCGCGCTTGCGCGCCTCAGGAGTCCCTGAAGTGTATAAGCGCCTGGGAATCCTAAGGGAATCCTGAAGGAATGCTAGCGAATCCGAAGGGAATCCTAAGGAAACCTAGCGAACCCGAAGGAATCCTGAGGAATCCAACCAAACCAATCCTGAAGAAAACTCAGCGAATCCCAATGGAATCCTAAGGAATCCTTGCGCAGACCGCACGCCGTTCCGCCGTTCCCGTCCGGGTTCGCGCGCGCGCCCCAGAAATCCCTAAATTGTATAAGCGCCTCGGAATTTTGCGAATCCGAAGAGAATCCTAAGGGGACCTTGCGAACCCGAAGGAATCCGAAGAAACCCTCAGGAATCCTGAGGGAATCCTCAGCGAATCCTCATGGAATCCTAAAAAAATCCTTGCGCTGACCGCGCGCCGTTCCCGTCCGGGTTCGCGCTTGCGCGCCTCAGGAATCCCTGCAGTGTATAAGCGCCTGGGAATCCTGAGGGAATCCGAAGGGAATCCTGAAGGAATGCTAGCGAAACCGAAGGGAATCCGAAGAAAACTTAGCGAATCCGAAGGAATCCTAAAGAATCCTCAGGAATCCGACCGAATCCTCAGCGAACCCTCATGGAATCCTTAAAAAAACCTTGCGCAGACCGCGCGCCGTTCCCATCCGGGTTCGCGCTTGCGCGCCTCAGGAATCCCTGCAGTGTATAAGCGCCTAGGAATCCTGAGGGGATCCGAAGGGAATATTGAAGGAATGCTAGCGAATCCGAAGGGGATCCTAAGGAAACCCAGCGCATCCGAAGGGGTCCGAAGAAATCCGAAGGAATCCAAAGGAATCCCACCGAATCCTCAGCGAATCCTAATGGAATCCTAAGGAGTCCTTGCGCAGACCGCACGCCGTTCCCGTCCGGGTTCGCGCTGCCGCGCCTCAGGAATCCCTGGTGTGTATAAGCGTCTAGGAATCCTGAGGGAATCCTGAGGGAATCCTGAACGAATGCTAGCGAATCCGAAGGGAATCCCAAGGAATGCTCGCGAATCCGAAAGAATCCTAAGGAATCCGACCGAATTGTCAGCAAATCCTAATGGAATCCTAAAAAAATCCTTGCGCTGACCGCGCGCCGTTCCCGTCCGGGTTCGCGCTTGCGCGCCTCAGGAATCCCTGAAGTGTATAAGCGCCTAGGAATCCTGAGGGAATCCGAAGGGAATCTTGAAGGAATGCTAGCGAATCCGAAGGGAATCCTAAGGAAACTTAGCGAATCCGAAGGAATCCGAATGGAATCCTAAAAACATCCTTGCGCAGACCGCAGGCCGTTCCCGTCCGGGTTCGCGCTTGCGCGCCAGGAATCCCTGAAGTGTATAAACGCGTGGGAATCTTGGATTCCGAAGGGAATCCGAAGGAATGCTGGCGAATCCTGAAGGAATGCTAGCGTTCGAAGGTTCCCTCGTCGCCCCGCCTGCCATGGAGGCCCGAGGGTTCCCTGGGCGTGCATGCCGAATGCAAGCGCCCAGGGAGGAGCATTGATCCGCGCGGCCGAATTCAGTACGTTATCATTTGCTCGATCCCCGTCATGATTACCACCATCATCATCATATCCATCATCAGTATCATCATAAACATCATCATCATAATGATCATCATCAACATCATCTTCATCATCGTCATCATCATCACCACTATCATCGTCATGAATCGTGATCACCACCAGCATCATCACAATCATCACCGGCATCAGCATCACCATCAAAATCATCATCATCGCCACCAGCATCATCGTCATCATCTTCGTAATCAACATCACCATCGTCATACCTCAGCATCATCATCATCGTCATCATCATCCGCATCATCGTCATCATGCTAATCGTCACCATCACCACCATCATCATCGTCATCGTCGTCATCATCATCCTTATCATCACGTTTCTCAACATCATCATCATCATCATCATCATCATCATCATCATCATCATCATGTAAGCTCCCAATGCGATCTCAGCAGACATCTATAGAGCAACCCAAATGCAATCAATTCAAAATCAGGCAGAAAACCCATGCAACGCAACGCGATATCTTCGGAATCGAGCACGGCGGGCCCGGACGGAGACGGCGTTCGCTTCCATCGTGCTCGATTGTATGGACGGGGGGCAACTTAAAACCGAAAACCGAATGCCAAACTCTTCGGTAAATGTATGTTCTGGGATCCAACATCGGCCACCTAAACATTTAGAACATATACTTCAGTGCCAAAGAAAGAGAAAGACAGCGACTCATCTTCAGAACAGCGGTTCACTACTACACGGCCTGGACGGGCACGGCGTTACCTACTACTACTAATACTACTACTACTACTACTACTACTACTACTACTACTACTACGACTACCACGACTACTACTACTACTACTACTACTACTACTACTACTACTACGACTACCACTACTACTACTACTACCACTACTACTACAACTACTACTACTACTACTACCACTACTACAACTACTACTACTACTACTCCTGCTACTGCTGCTACTACTACTACTACTACTACCACTACTACTACTACTACTACTACTACTACTACTACTACTACTACTACGACTACTACTACTACTACCACCACCACTACTGCTACTACTACAACCACTGCTACTACGCCGACGACGACTACTACTTCTACTACTACTACTGCTACTACTACTACTACCAGTACCACTACAACTACTACTACTACTACTACTACTACTACTACCACTACTACTACTACTACTACTACTACCACCACTACTACTGTCACTACTACTACTGCTGCTGCTGCTACTACTACTACTACTGCTACTACTACGACTACTACTGCGTATACGATTACGACTATGACTATGACTGGCACTACTACTACTGCTACTACTACGACTCCTACAGCTACTACTACTACTACTACTACTACTACTACTCCTACTACTTATGGTACTACTACTACGACTACTACTACTACTACTACTACTACTACTACGACTACTACTACTGCTACTACTACTACTACTACTATGACTACTACTACTACTACTACTACTACTGCTACTACTACGACCACGACTACTACTACTACTACTACTACTACGATGCTTCTACGACTACCACGACCACTACTACAACCACTACTAGTACTACGACTACTACTACTACTACCACTACTACTACTACTACCACTACTACTACTACTACTACTGCTACTACTACTACTACGACTACTACTACTATTACTACGACGATGACGACGACGACGACTACTAGTACTACTACCCCTACTTGTGCTACTTCTAGTTGTACTACCTCTAAGTGTGGAATTTCTACTTGTACTACTTCTACGTGTACTACTACTACTACTACTACTACTACCACTACTACTACTACTACTACTACTACTACTACTACTGCTACTGCGACTACTACTACTACTACTACTACTACTACTACTACTACTACTACTACTACTACCACTACCACTACTACTACTACTACTACTACTACTACTACTACTACTACTACTACTACTACTACTACTCCTACGACTACTACTGATAATAATAGTAATAGTACATATTCTACTACCACTACTACTACTACTACTACTACTACTACTACTACTACTACTACTACTGCGACTACTACTACTACTACTCCTTCTCCTCCTAGTCGTCCTCCTCTTCTACCTCCTCCGCCTCCTCCCATATCTGGGGGTGGCCTTGTCGCAGGCGCTGATGGCGGAACTGTAAGCGATGGAGTCGGGGGAGATGGCCTGACTCCAGGTGCCGCGGGGGGGCGTCGGCGCTGTGGCTTCTGCTGCGGCGTGGCTCGTCAGGCGCTGGGGCGATCGAAGATTGCCGACTTCTCTCACCCTCCCTCCCTCCTTCCCTGTCTCGCTCGTTTTCTCTCTCTCTCTCTCTCTCGCTCTCTCTTTCTCTCTCTCTCTCTCTCTCTCTCTCATCACGTCCCCCTTCAGGAGGATCTTGGACGGAAAAAGATGCCCCCCAAATACACCAACAAAAATTTAACAATGGTCAAACATCGTCCCCAGACATGTTCTTACTATCTCTGAAGATTCCCCCTGTAGAGGGACACGCCCGACTTAACCAAGACTCGGGCACGGCGCCGGGATGGGCCGAAGGCCACTCGATCCGCCGCCCCGCCGGCTTGCAACAGGGGCGCACGGCGGTGCCCAACATTAGCAAGTTGTTGGTCCTTCGTTGAGGTTTCTAGTGTCAGTGAAGGGGCCCAGGGACAACAAACAATATTCACTGCGTGGAGCTCCCCATATGTGCATCTATTTGCATTGACTGGGTGTGAGTGAGTCTGAGTATGAGTATGATGAGTGCGAGTCTGAGCACAAGTGAGTCTGGGACATCCTCGCAATCTGCCCCCCCTGGGGTGCGAAAGCCAGTGAGTCTGAGTAGAAGTAGAGGGAGTACGAGTCTAAGTCTGAATGGGTCTGAGTACGAGTGAGTTTGACTACGAGTGTATATGAGGGTGGGTGAGTCTGAGTGTGAGTGATTCTGAGCGTGAGTAAATCTGAATGTGAGTGCGTCTGAGTATGAGAATGATGGATACGAAACTGGCCCTGATTGGGTCTGAGTGCGAGTGAGTCTGACAACGAATAAGCCTGAGGGTGGGTGGGTCTAAGTGTGAGTGAGTCTGAGTGTGTGTAAGTCTGGGTGTGAGTGAGTCTGAGTGTGAGTAGAATGAATGCGAGTCTGAATATGAGTGAGCCTGAGCACGCGTGAGTTTGAACACACGTGAGTCTAGGACATCCTCGCAATCTGGGCCCTCTGTGAGTGCGGAAATCAGCGCCTCGCCATAGACATCGTCAGAATCTGCGTTGACAGCAGACGAGTCTGACCACCAAAACACGCAAACCGCTTGAGACATCCTCGACATCTGGCCCCCCTGGGGTCCGAAAACCAGCTCCTCGCCTGAGACATCCTCAGAATCTGCTCCGAAAGAGGAGCATGTTGAGACAGAAAACAGGCAAACCGTTTGAGACAACCCCACGCAATTGTCGCGAACGGGTCCGTGTCATACCCCTCGGCGGCTCCCCTTCGGGGTGCTGAAACTGCTCTCCAAGCGAAGGATGTTGGGACAGAAAACAGGCAAACCGCTTAAGACATCCCCACAAAACGGCCGCGAACGGGACCGTGTCATACCCCTTGGCGGCTCCCCTTAGGGGTGCTGAAACCAGCGCCCCGCCTGAGACAGCCTCACAATCTGCTGTGTGTCGAGTAAGTCAGACAATGAAATGAGAAGTTCTGAGTTTGAGTAAGTCTGGGTATGACTCATACCGTATGAGTGAGTCTCAGCATGAGTAAGTCTGAGTATGAGTAGGTCTGAATGTGAGTAGGTATGAGTATGATCCGGTCTGAGTATGAGTATGTCCATGTATGAGTAAGTCTAGGTACGAGAGGGAGGAGGAGGAGGAGGAGAAGAAGAGGAAGGAGGAGTAGGAGGCGTCCAAGAAATAACAATAACCCCATCTTAGGATATGGGATATATATATATATGTATGTATATATGCAAATTCCAGGATTCTAAATCTTTTTCCATATTTTTCTGATTTTCGTCTTCCCCAACACTTCCCATATTGTCGAATGTTTCCCTGGGAATCGACGATTCATTGTGCCTGTGTGCACTTCTCCCTCCCGAGTCAGGTCGGGCATGTCCCCCTACAGGCGGAGTTGGGGCGAAAGTTCAAAAAAATAGCCGAGACCTGCGCCAAACGTGCTAAAACATAGCAGAACAGTGGTCGCCCGACTACATGAGGGGCGTTGACCAAAGGAACGATAAATAAGGAACGAGGCCCCTTTTTCCCATATAGCAACCTCAGATTATCCATGGAACACCTCAGGAGAACCCAAGGAGCACTGTAAAACAATCAAGGAACACCGAGCCCCTCCCCAACGAAAAGGGTTTCTTCCTCAGCGCCCCGACTGTATTTCTGCTACTTTTGCACCTGCCTCCTGCAGAGGCACATGCCCGACATTCATTCCAGCGGCCCTTGGCCGATCCCGCCGGCGCACGGAAGGAGGACCCCCTGGACCTCCCCCGGGCCGTCGGCCCGCCCGCTCCGTGCGGACCCGTGCAAAGTTAGCTCCTCCTCCTCCTCCTCCTCCTCCTCCTCCTCGTCCTCATCCCTCCTCATCCCCTTCCTCCGCCTCCTCCTCCTCCTCGCTCCTCCACCTACTTTCTCCATTCATCTCCTCCAACCTCCCTCATTCCCCCGCTCCAGGCGGCCCCAAGATGGCCTCCGAGACGGCCGAGGTGGTCCGAAAGACGACGACGATGGCCCCCAAAGGGCCCAAGATGACCTCAAGCTGTCTCCAGGACGGCCCGGTGTGCATCCAGGGCGGTACAGGACTGGCACGAGGCGGCCGGAGAGGGCCCACGGGGCCCCCAGGAGGCCTCCGAGAGAACCTCCAGGAAAAGCCCGACGAGATCTCTCCTCTTCTTCTTCATTCCCCCCACATGTTTTCCCCGAGGCTTGCATGCTGGTCAATTCGCTACAACGGTGCCCCCGTTTAGATCGCTTCGTGCGTCAGCGCAAAAGTTTTCCCCGAGGCGTTTCCACAAAGGCTGGGGGAGCACATGATCTGATAGCTTGGCCGAGCTCAGGCCACACCGTGCGGCCACGTAGGCGCCTTCGAAAGGCTGGGGGCGGCGGTGATTCGCAATGGGCGTCGTCGGTATGTACACACTGTACGCATATGGATACATCCTTTAAGTCATCCGTCGTCCTGCCTCTGTGCGGCTGTCGGCCCATCAGTCTGTCAGCCTGCTTGTCAGCTCATCTGACCCTGCTTTTCAATGTCAGCTTCCTCGTGCAAGCGCCTCCCCCACACTTCCCACACACCCTCCCACAACGCCCACCCTTCCTCTTCCCACCTTCGCCAACGACTTGCCGACCTCCTCCGCCTTCTGCCAGACTAGCCCCGCGCTCCTCCCGGACATGCCATGCCCTGACTTGTTCGATGCGGGGCTCCTGGGCGTCCCCATCCTTTCCCCAAGGCTGTCCTTCCCTCCCGACTCGTTCCTCGACGGGCAGAAGAAGGCAAACACAAAACCTCCCGCCGTGATTGTTCCACGACGAGCATTGGATGCTCGTTCTGGGGACCTGTTTGGAGCCAGTCGCTCCGCTCGTGCGCCGAAGCTGCGTCGAACGTCCGTCCACTCGAGTCGAACCTGAGTCGAAAATGAGTCGAACCGGAGTCGAGCCTGAGTCGACCTTGAGTCGAGCCTGTGTCGAACTGGAGTCGGCCTGGGGCCGAACTGATCCATGAACTAGGTGTGCCCGAGGTAGGTGCCCAAAGCGAGCATGAAACGAGCAGGTCTGGCCTCGCAGCGGAAGTAAAACCTCCGACGACAGAAGAAGAAGAACCGGCATAGACATAGACTTTTGGCGCTCCGCGCGGATTTCTTGGATCCGCGCTGGGCCCCCCTCCCTGGCGCGCGGATCGCACCAGGGGCGGCGCCAGAGGCGCCGCCAGCCAGGCGGGGGGCAGCGCGGATCCATGGCATGGCATCACGAACGGCGACCGTATCCGTGTCCACGCCCTGGCCGTCTGGGCCCCAGGGCGCGACATCCCGCGGAAACGCGGTCGCACAGATACGTTCCGCGCGAGGCACCCGCGCCAGAAACTTCCCAGCGTCCGCGGGGTCACGGCCCAGGGGCCGAGCCCACGAGGGGCCGCGGATGCGAGTATGTTTCGCCCACGCGAACACCCTACAGTGAAACGCACCCTCGTGGAAGCTGTGCATGCGCTCCACGTGCGCACTGTAGAGCACTCCGAGCAGGCCCCAGCGGGGTGTCCAACCGACATCCGAAGAGAACCAAACGTGTCCGGCGAGACGCTGACTGCGGACTGCAGCGGCGCACTCGGACGCCAACCGAGGGAACCGATGCAGACTTCCTCGTCGACCTGTCTGGGTGGGCGTCTTCGCGATGCCCGACCCGCGTGCAGGAGAACACAACTCCGCCCGGACTGCCTTGATCGGCGCTGGGCTCCCCTCCGCCAGGGCACCAGCGCCGATCGAGGACATCCGGCTGGAGTTGTACTCTTCTGCCGGGCCAGGGGGCCCAGGGGACCGCTGGCCCCCTGACGCGCGGACCGCGCCAAGGGACCAGCGCCTGCCCAAGAGATCCGCGCGGGCCTTCGAGCGCGTGTGCACAACGCAGCTGGACCCCCTGCGGGCCTCGCTCGCCTGGCCCGAAGAGACTGCGCTGCACAGAAGGCGCGACCCCGCAAGCAAGAGTAGCCCCAGGCTGAACCGAAACGGTGCTGTTCATTCTCGTGTTGTGCTTCGATCTTCCTCGTGTTGCCTCCGCTTCGCCTTTCATGCAAAGCGAAACGAAAAATAGACCGGCCCACGAGATGGCCAAGACACCGTTCAAGTCCAGCCCTGGAGTTACATTTGCTCCCGTCGCACTTCAGGACCGCATCCCAGAAAGAATTCCGAGCGCCCGAATAAATGTCGAAACAATGTCGGACGAGCGTCTCCTAGGGCCCGACACGTGAAAACCATCGAGTTTCGGTACTTGTTTGGTGCTCGAAATGTTTTCTCGTGGTCAAGACTAACGTCGGTTGGAACATCATAACCGTGGAGCAGCCCTTGGTGCGCGGCTTGCCGATCAGGGCCTACCAGTGCGGCAGTGGAGGCCCGCATGCCTGCGCCGCCCGAGTTGAGCAGTTGCCAACCGTCCCAGCCTTCCTACAGGCCTACCACGCTTGTCTGTCGAACCAAGGAGTGTTCTGAGAAGGCACCTGCTCACATAGCATATGCCCAACGCATTGAGACAGCAAGATCTCCGCCAGAACTGTTCCACACATACGTCGTGCCAGCGACGAACGAGACATTCGAACTTTCTACGGGCGGCCTATAGGCAAGTTGGCACGCTTCGCCACTGCTTGACCGAAAGAAGAGAACCCAAGATCACACTGGCGAAGGATCACTCTGACGCGCAGCCGAACCAGTTAGCCGCGGGGATCCGCCGTTCCGGCGCCGACGCTCTACAGCCAGCAGGCGTCAGCGCGCATCTGGCGGAACAGGTCCAGCGCTATTGTCCAGCGCCCCACCTGCCGGGCGGAAGAGGCCAGGGAGGGGCGGCTGGGTGGGCATGATGTGATTGTGGATGCCATGACAATGGGCACTCTAACAATCCGACCATTGACTTTAAATTGTGTTTGAGATGCTTGAAACATTTTCTAAACATGATTAAGCATGCTTGAAACAAACGTTAAGAAAATGCTTAAGACCGTTTTAGACAGCTGGCGCTTGCTCTCCATTGATCGACTTCCACAATAATGTGATGAGCAGGTGGGCGGCATTCTCGGAGAAGCCTCGGGCTGCGCGCAGACAGCCCCCCACAGAGGCAGTCCCGGCCGGCCTGGCCCAGGGCGCTGGCTCGCTCCTCAGCGGAGGACGTCGGATGGCGGCCAAGAGAGGGGCGTCCAAGAGGGGGGGGGTGCAGATCATGGCCGGCGGCATGTGCGAGGCCCAAGGGGGGGCCAGGGACGCAATGAAACTTGTTTGGTCTGCGGGTCGAGAGCGGGCCTCTTCCGCTTAAGAGCTAGGCGGGGCGCGCAGAGCACTAATTGGGGGACGCAACGAAACAACAAGAGGAGGCGCCCTGAAACCTGGGGAAGCATCGTGGCCCACGCCATGAGATCCCCCCCCCCTGTCGGGTCGGGCGAAAGGGGGGGATAACAAAGGGGGGGGTTGAGAATCAGCTCACGTAGCTGATGTTCCCGGCGCCTCCCGGCGCCGGAGGCGGCTATGTATCGAGGAATGGGCCCCTCGGTGAGGCCGAAACCAGCTGCATGCAGCAAATTTTGTACCCCCCCCTTTCCAAATCCCCCCCTTGCGCCCGGCCCGACCCTGGTCGTCACCCCGCTCGCTGCCGCCCCCGAGGACGGGGGGACACCTGCGGCACAGCTCCGGGCCCGTGGTCCTGGCCCCTGGCCCGGGATCGGCGACGATGCCTCGCCGACGGCTCGGCGGCGGGGCCCCGGCAGCGGGACAGAACGACAGTGGGCACGGCCGGGGCGCCCCACGCCAGGAGAGGCCATGCCAGGGCGATCGGGGGACATCTTTGCCTCCTGTGCCAAAGCTCCTGCTGGCGCGCCTGAGATAGGTGGGCGGGGTGGGCATTCGCCAGGTGGCAACGCATGGGGGGCCTCTGAGGGCACGGTCCGGAGCGACGAAGCCCCAGCGGTGGTAAACCATGTTCGGCGAGATCATTCGTCCCAGAGGAACCTGGCTGAAGCTTGACGGAAATTTATCAGGCTGCACTGGGCCGCACCACCACTGATTCGCGCACATGGAGCACAGTAGCCGATGACGAAGAACGCAACCACCAGGAGCTGCGGCTTCATACTCGGGTGCGTGGGCGGGTGAAAGGGCCACAGGCGCAGGCCGGCCGGCGGGGGGAAGGACGATGGCGTATACAGCGCCCACGCTTACCGGCGGTCGCGGGCGAGACCTCATGCGTACTCCAGATTTCGTAATAAAAGGGAGGGGGTCTCAACCCTCCCAGACGAGAAGTTTTAGACCCTCCCAGACCATCCGTGAAAGGGCGGCCCTTTGCCCAGACCCCCCCGAACCTTCCAAGACAGCTCAAATCAGACCCCCCCCCAAATGTGACCCCCCCGACTTTATTATGGAATCCGGAGTACACGTCGTTCATTTCAAATCGTGTTCATTTCTGAGTGTCCTCGTGTCTACACTGTTCCTGGCCCCGGAGTGGCCAGGCAGAGGCCCAGGATAGAACAATTAGAGATGAAAGGATCTAGGCCCCCCAAAAAATCAACGAACTTTCGAAGAATCAGACATGAACCATGTGTAGTGGCAAGAGGAACCTGACCAGACCATAAAGATCAGACGGGAAACGAAGGGAAGAAGGTGTCTCACACATGAAGGCGCGACTTATTACCCTGCTCGATGGCTCGCGCAGGCCGCGCGGCAAACTGCATGAAACAGACGAACACACACGAGCTTGCGCGAGGAGCTCACGCGCGATTGTCCACACTGCCGTTCTCCATTTCTGTAATTACTGGCCAGACGGAGCTGGTGAGGCTAGTCTTTGATCGGGGCCCTGTCCCCCCGAGGAAGAGAACGGGGGACGCCCGAACAACAAGAAACAGTGGCGTGTCGATGAATATGGCCCCACCGGCCCTCTGGGCATGGGTCGATTAGATCGATCGTTCTTCCAACCGCCTTCTGACACGTCGGGGAGCATGTCTACCAGAAGTATTGATCCGGCTCCAAGACTCCAGTTCCAAACGAATGTGCGATCCCCAAACAGTGGTCCAGAAAGAACTCGGTCTCCCAAAAATCCGTCGGTCCCAAACTCGTTGTCGCTCCCCGCCACATGTCGCAGCACTCTCCTCCTCTCCAGAGGACCAGACGTGGCTCACACCATCCGGCGCGGCGGCCGTCTCCCCGGCCAACCGGGGGAGAGAGGGAGAGAAGGCCTCGGCGCAGATGAAGGCCCGAGCGTGTTGGGCAAAGCCTCGCACTGGAGGGTTTGAGAAAACGTGTTCCGTAGACACTCGCCTGGACAAATACCTTGATACGCTGGAACTGGGAGACCCCCCCGAAAAAAACAATGAACGCCCCTGGACAAACGGCCTCCCTAACCGGACCGGTTGGTGGGGGCCACCCTGTCCAGGGGGGGCGGTTCTGACCGGGGAGGGACCCCACCCTTCGGGAGAGGGGTCGAAGCGCCGGGGGGGCCCCCAACCCAGAGTTACAAGAGGGGATTCGAACCAGGCCCACTCCCTCCCCTCGCCTGTGCGCGTGGTCGCTGTCGTCGCCGTCGCAGTCGCCATCGCCGCCGCGGTCGCCGTCGCCGTCGCCGTCGCCAGCGCCGTGGCCGTCGTCGTCGCCGTCGCCGGCGCCGTCGCCGTGGCCGTCGCCGTCGCCGTCGCCGTCGCTGTCGCCGCCGCCGTCGCTGCCGCCGTCGCCGTCGCCGTCGCCGTCGCCGTCGCCGCCGTCGTCGCCGACGCTGTCGTCGTCGTCGCCGCCGTTGCCGTCGCCATCGCCGTCGTTCTCGTCGTCGTCGTTGTCGTCGATGGTGCCCGTCGGCGTCAGCGCCGGCGCAGGAGCAACGGGGGGGCGGCCCCCTCCTGGTTCGACCCTCCCCCCGTGCAACCGTCGCCGCCGCCGCCGTCGCCGTCGCGGTGTCGTCGCCGTCGGCGCTGGCGTCGGTGTCGCCGTTGTCGTCGTCGCCGTCGGCATCGGCGTCGCCGTGAT